ATGACCACTCCCGCCCTGCTGCCGCTCTCCGGGCGGAGGCTGCCCCCCCTCAACCTGGGGGCCTCCGCCTTCCCGCACCACAGGGCTACCTTGAGACTCTCCGAAAAATTTATCCTGCTCCTTATCCTTAGTGCCTTCATCACCCTGTGCTTCGGGGCGTTCTTCTTCCTCCCCGACTCCTCGAAGCACAAGCGCTTTGACCTGGGCTTGGAGGATGTGCTCATTCCTCATGTGGACACCAGCAAAGGGGGCAAAAACCTCGGCGGCTTCCTCATCCACGGGCAAGGGCACGACGAGCACCGGCACAGGTAGGTGCCTTGCTCGCCGGGAAGGGAGCAGAGGACCGGGAGAACGGGAGAGATCCATTAAAACGGGTGCTCCTTCCCGGTGCTGCTTGTCGCTCCTCGCCCCGACATCCTCGTGTCTTCCCAACGTGTATCAACTTCGGAGCGCTAGCCTTGTGTCCTCCAGCTGCCATAGCGTAGCTCTGTCTCCATGTTTTCTTTTCCAGTGTGAATTTAGCCTTCTGACTAGCAAGGGCTGGGAGGATAAATACGAGCTCTCCTCCAGCGACCGATTTCTTTTTTTCGCCCTAGCCGATTCCCTGGGGCAGCCGTGGAAAAAAAGAGGGTTAAGTTACGGCATTTGTGGAGGCTATAAGTGACTGAAAAACTGCCGCATCTCTTCTATAGCTTTTAGGTGTTTACTCAAAACAGCTGCTTGTTGCTTAACAGTGTAGCACGGACTTTGATCTGATGAAGGCTTCACGCGGTGACCCAGAGGCTGTCAGCCTACGACGTGCAGGACACAGAGCTAGTGTAGATGGAATAATAGCCTTTTCTGGCCCTTAAAATCACTTCTTGTAATGTTATTCCAGGCGATTGGAGGTGCCGGTGGCTAAGTTTCCTTAATTGTGTTTGCCAGTGTAAAGAAATTGGAGATAAAATAGTATTTAAGAGTAACAAGGGTAAATGTCATGCTGTTGGTAGCTTTTTTGGAGCCACTTAAAGCTGTGTGCAGCCTCTAAATGTTCAAGACTGGGTCATGTGAAGCCTTCAAACCTGAGATTAAAAAAACTTAAATGAGGGTTATACAGTATGTTTGCTTCTAACATACTTGAATTGCTTAAATGCTACCGTAGCGCACAGTGAAGCTGACTGATCTCTCTTCACTGTCAAAGATGTGTAAGATGTGATGATGATGGGTGATAACATATATGCTCTTCCATATTCATGTTAGTAATACAGTGAAACGTAAAGAAAGGTTGCTTATGCTGTGTTCCTTGGAGAAGAGTTTAAAATATATCCTATTGACATGATACCAGAATTATTTAAAGGTTATTTGTGCTAGATTAAAAGGAGAGGGTATAATTGCCTCTTTTTATTCATCTGTTATGAGTTATAAAGACTACCTGAATACTATTTTTCCTTAAGGCATTTTTGCTGTTGGATGTCTTGGGGCCGTTATCATGAGCTCGTTCTACTTAACTGAAAGGGCACGGATGCTTAATATTTAATAAGGACTTCTTTTGTCTATGATGTTAATTGCTGGTGCGGTTAAATGTTGCACAAAACATAAGTTTAGACACTCTAACATGCCTTTGAAGTTCTCATCTTTCACTGTCCTTTTTTTTGTGATCTTATTTCTTAGCTACCCCAGTCATTGGGGTACATGCAGTCAAAATCAGATTCTAAAATAGAAGACAGATGAAAAAGAAGAATTCAGAAATTTTCAAAACTCCAGCTGTGACTGTTGTACCTTGTGTTGCCCAGTAGATGGGCCATAGAAAAAGGAGTTTGTTGATACTGATAGTTCTGGAGTGATGCTCTTGATTAACCTACTTACGCGAGTCCTTTTCAGGTTTCCTCTTTAAGTGTAATTACTGAGACTACAGCTTTAGTAATGAAGTGTGTACTATTTTTGTCTGTCATGTTTAGAAAAGCAGTAAGTTTTAACTGTGGGAGCTAAATGCATTTTGTTTGTTTGGGATCTGTTCTTAAACAAAGCGGTTACCCTGTCATCAGTTAACTCTCCTGTGGTTCCTTCATAAGCTATGAATGTGTGTACCTCCCCCTGCCCCTCATCCAAAATTGTCTCTGTCAAGTACAGTTTTTTATGGCTGCTTTTTGAGTTGTTATTTGAGCAAGAACAGGTATTTTAGCCCTGCAAACCATTGGATTACTCCGAGCATGTCTTAACGGCTAAAAAAGCCTGCCTGCTTAACCTGCTTGTAAGACACTTATGTGAATGCCACAGTATGCATTGTGAAGTGAGGTTATGTGCTTTACTTTTAGAGCAACTTTTTTGGCTTATTACCACATAGTCCTCTCAACAGGCTATTTGTTAGCTTGGAGCTGGTGTGGTGACTGTTTTCCATGAAGGAAAACACCTGTTGCCATTTTCATCGCTGAGTTCCTTCTCCTGGTTTGCAGAGACATTGAGAGATGGTATTTTGAGAAAATATAGGGTCTTCAGTCGTGAATTCTAGATTACTTGTTATCTCAGTTTGGGATGGATATGTTTGTTCAGCTTGCTATCAAGGAGCAAAGTCAAGTGTCAACTACTGTGTCAGTGTTGTTTTTTGGATGGCACTGAGGAGTTACGGTACAAAAGATCAAGAGGCATTAACCTACTGGTAATACAAAGGAAGATGTGGTCTAAGGTGTCAAGTGTGATGATGGATTGACAAGCTGTATTTCCAAGAATTGTAGGACTTCAGAATAAATCAGGTCAAAGGTCATTCATATGAAGTGTACACTTGATCATAGAATGACAGGTGTGTTGATTCAGTGAGTAAAGGGAAGTGTTTCTTCTGTGAATGCTGGTATTGACCTCTGTCAAATGAGAAAAACTACAGATCGTTATTATGCTGCTCCCTTGGTATATAGGCTATAATATTTTAATTCTCATCTCCCCTTACCTCTTAAATTTGGAGCTTTGTATGCTATTGGAGAATATTCATATTTCTGTCTTCTAGGAAAATACAGCAATGATGTAGGTAGAGGGTTGTCATGCGCCCATGCTTTAGTGTTGGGGATACAAACAATGCTTCTTACTGGACCTTCTCTGTATTCCTTGCATTGCTTTCCCACCTGTTCCTCTGGCCCCCTTCAACATTCTTGAGTGTTTTTTATTATTGTTACAGTGGTTACCCCTTGGTGACATTAACTTTACATCTGCCATTAACTTTTTTTTTTTTTTTTTTTACTGCTCTTGCTCCTCTTCCCCTCTTCCCTTCTCCCCTTCCAGGCAGAAAACGGCAGACCACTCCCTTCCTGGTAGTCTTAAGTATTTTTTTTTTTTTTCAAGAATTGCAGTGTCCTTGCCTATCATCCATAGAAAAAAAAACACCAACTTTCTTGTAAGATGATGATTAAAATCTGGAATAAAACTGCAATTTATATTTTGGGAAATGGATGGGCTGTAGTGCAAGTTAACATTCATTTTTAGCTGTTCGCTTCATGGGTAAGCTCTTCAAGTGCACTTGCAGGATGATGCATGGGGAATTGGTTAGTAATGTTGGAAAGGTGTACCACAAAATTTTGCCTCTGGGAGGAGGGAGAGTGGAAAAGACTAGTCTAGGACTTGTGAAGATATGTGCATACACACGCTTTCTAAAAATCGATTTCATTTCCCAAAGATGAATTTCTCTCAATTTCAAATAGGATATTGCAGATTCTGGAACACCAGCAGCACTGTTTTGCAGACACATCATGCCAAACAAACTTACGTGTCACTCAAAATTTCTTACACGGTTTTAGATAACTGACATTTCTCTCAAACTTCTGCATCTCCTCTGCCATACAAAAACACTTCAGGTGTTTCTTACTTGTGTTAGGTATTTTATTCTTCAGTACCAGGTCTGAAAGATAGCTTTGGAACCAAAGCAAAACATTCTTATGGTTTCTTGGCATCCAGTGTAAATGAGTGAGAATGCAGATGCCCTATAATCTCCTTGATCTATCAGATTTTTTAAAAATAAGATTATCTGTAATATGAAAATTGAGCAGACTTGTTTCTTTAATGATGTGTCAAGCAGCTGCTCTTTGTATTACTTGAACAACTTAAGATTATTTCTGTGGTAAAAGTACGTTAGTCTTAGAGGCAACGAATAACGTGAATAATGCAATTTTATGAGCTGAAAGCTGCAAAGCCACTTTGTAACAGCATTTGGGCTACTGTTGCGCCAACAGTTCAGTCCTTCAGAATTTGCAGAGTTGTACCTTCAGCTGCTAAATTCCTGTGTATTAATTCAGTCATAATTCCTGCCTGTGCTTAAAAAAACCCACCAACCTGCATGTCATCAGATAGATAGCAGGTGCTGATGGTGCAGCTGACCACCTCGAGTGCCTTGGCCTCTGTGTGTAAGTAGGTAAAGATCAGTGTAAATCGTGCCTTTGACTTTGTTTCTGTGAAACTAAGGATTATTGACTTCTGTGTTATGCAAAGATATAAGCTCAGCAGTCTGATATGACCAGTTGTGGGTCAGCAGCTGTATGGCAATAGTCTAAAAGTGCTCTTTCTTCTGTTGCTGAATATATGGTTGTGTCTATGGCAGTAGCAGCTGCTGCCTCTACTCTTAGAGGGTGAAAGTAACAAAAATGATTCTGAAGAGCTTTCAGTCTTAACTACTTCTTTTAAATCCTGCAATTCTTTTTTCTTTTTAAAGAAACATGAAAGGCTTAATATGCTGCTTTTGAATACCTTTATCTTCTCTGGTCTATGTGACTTAATAAGCCATAGTAGAAGTAGGCAGAGGAAATAATTTAATCTCTGTTACTCAGTGGGATCAGTATCTGCTGTCATCCTCTGCCATGACATCGAGTATAAAAGTGCATAAAACTCTTTGCTCTTCCTTTTCCGCCTTTAGTTGAGGCAGAGCTCATTAGTGCAATTAATTACTCTTCAGAGTATTTGCTGTTGTGATTCAGAGAACCTGTTTTTTTCTCCTGAAAAATCAGGATCCACTGCAGTGTCTGGGCCCCAAGTCCTACTTTGTCCAAGTTTTTGTTGCATGAAATTGAGCATGTCTTCAGAGTGGACTCCACAGTCTCTCTGAAATGTGGGCACTGAGTTTAAGATGAGGTGCTTGATCCAGAAGCAAGGGAGTTTTAGGGTGTAACACGCAGGAGATGCAAGTCCTCATGGTGACACCTATGGAGCTGAAGAGGGCAGGAATAGCGCATTCCAAGTCAGGGTTCAGAAACATCTCATATGTCTAGAGCAAAGAATTCTTAACTGCCTGGTGTAAGCCTTCAACTGTTGAAGATATTGCAAGAGCACTGCCCATTTTCAGCTGGAGACTTTT